TCAGGGTCTACATCGGCAGAAACTCCTCCTGTGGTTAGTCTATGTTTTGTTTTAGACTATAAATCATTGCACTTTTAGATATCAGGAGATTAACATGTCTTAGGTCTGTACTTACTTAATAACTTCAGGGAAAGTCAAAAGAAAATATAACCACAGAAACATATGATCCTTTAATCTCAAAAATACTAAAAAACATATTCTCAAACCACCTTTGCCTTCACAGTGTTTATACTCTAACAGATGCAAACAAGAAACATCCTCCGTGAACAACATATATAGGATAGGATACTGTGACAGGTCCCACCCAGGTGCTGACAAGAAGAAAAAGCAGGGGAGGAGAAAGGGTTGAAAAGTGATATGTGGGCATCTTGAAGGAGGTAAGAGGTCAGCATGTGGATATTTAGACAAGAGCCTTCTGTGAGAAGAGTAAACCACAAGTGAGCCAGAATGCCAAGTTGGTTGAAGCAACATCAAAGGCAGGTGTTGCTATATCAAAGAAAGTAAAAAGAAAAATAGATGAAGATGCAGTCAAAGGTAAAAGAAGGCAAGAGGTCCAAAGCCTTGCTCAATGCTACAGGAGGATTTGAGATTTTCATCCAAGCAGGATGTGAAGCCACTGAGAGATATGGCAACACATAGGTTAAGACTAAACAAGAGGATCCAATCCTCTCTGTGAGGGTATTTTGCTAGATAGAAGCATCTTGAGATGAAGTTCAATTGGAAAAGCATGTTTATTTCATATTAGAACTTCACTGGACACTTAATGTTGTTCCTTGCTATAATATTTTCCAACAAAGTAGTAAAGCAGCTGCCGAGCAAGCAGAAGGCCCTGAATTCAAACTCCAGTCACATCAAAAGAAAATAAAAAACAAGAATAGGGAGCTGGACAGTGCACAGGGTACATGTTCAGTATGTGATGTCCTAGATTCTATCAGGAAGAAGAAGGAAAAAAAAAAGGAGGAGGAAGAGCAGGAACAGAAAGAGAAGAAATCAACTCAACATGCATTAATTACTACTGGGTACTTAAGACCATTTAATTGGTTATGGAGATGAATATATTAATTGAATATCAGAAAGTAAGCAATGCCTCCCAGTAGCATTTTATTCAAGGTTGTACAAGCTCCTTTTTCAGAGTGTGTGTGGGGAGGGGGGGGTAGATATTAGGGCTTAAACTGAGGGCTTTGTGTTCTGGCTCAATTTTTTCCTTTAGCTGGTCCTCTACCCCTCCAATTCTGGCTTTTTGTTAGTTAGCTGGAGATGAGTCTCACAGTCTTGTCTACCCAGGCTGGCTTAAAACTGTGGTCCTCTCAGATCTCAGCCTCCTGAATACTTAGGATTATAGACAGAAAGATTAGGCTCTTCAGATTAAGAATGATGTTATAAGGGAAAATATTTATTAGCATCACTAACTTACCAAAATTAATTCTAAAAATCACAACTCTTGTTAAGCAAACTACCTGTTTTAGTCACAGTTTAACCTTTTTATTCAAGGGTTGCCTGTCAGATTTTCAAATAACTTCACCCCACAAACTGCTTTTGAAAGATTCCCTAAAACTTGAAGAGACTGAGGAAGTATTTGAAGATCCAAGTCACGTGCAAATAATGCATGTAAAACTATTTGATCACTTCTGTTTAAGCACTTAAAATTTAAGGACAATTTTTCAGGCAGGTTATAGTAGCTCATACATGTAATCCTGGCTTCTGAGGAGGTAGAGATAGAAGCATCTAGGCCTGAAGTCAGACAGGGCAAAAACTTGGCACCTTATCTGAACAATAAACTGAAAGCAAAAGGATTAGGGTCTTAGTGTAAGTGCTCTATGAGATCCCTGAGTTTAAATCCTGGTACTGAAAAAAAGTTTTTCCTATACTCCAGAGTAAATTGGAACAGATACAATTACACTTCAATAAGAACACCATGATCCTCTCTTTTGTTTTGGTGCTCTATTCATTTCACTTCTACATCTTACATAAATTCTTCCCCAGTTTATCACTTTTCCTTTGTGTAGAGTGATATCTTTTCAATATAAGTGTTAATTATGAAATGATAATGTCACTTTTACATGGGACTCCTTAAGTAGGTGACTTGGACTTATCATTTGAATTATTAATTTATATGGGCCATTTTATTTCATGTTTAATGAAAAGGTTTAATATTTTATTTATTTTCTTACTTTGTTGCAAAACTGCTGCTTCACTGTATAAAAACAGCACCAGCAAATGCGGTGCTTTATAAAACAGAGCTAGAATTCATCTGCCACTGTCCAACAAGCACTTTCCTCCACTACCTATTATTTCAAATGGCAAAGTCATTAGATGAATCCAAATCCAGATATGGATATAAGCAAGTTACAGAATGATCTATCATTTATAAGATATATAACTTTACAGTTTTTACCCTGGGTAATGCATTTTGAATACAATACCAGATCCTAGGGTTTAGCCTAAAATTCATTAATGTATTACAAAAACAAACAAACAAACATATTTTGTTTGTCTGTAATCATTGGAAAGTGAAGGGTATTTTCTCTCATAGCAGTGTTGAGTCATTGCTTTTCCTACTGGAAAAGTGTTGAGTGGTTGCAAAATATTATTTTAAGTTTTTCATCCACCACTAATTTAGACAACTACGCTGCAGTAAGTTACTTCACTCTTAATTCAGGATGCCATTTTTACTCCTCAATCAAGTTGATGTATTTCTCATACGGTTCTCCACTCATTAGTACATATACTTCTGAAGGGTTACTCAGTGTCATCTTTATCACCCAACCATCTTCATAACAAGATTTGTTGACAAGCCCTGGATTTTCTGCAAATGCTTCATTAACTGCTGTTACTTCTGACAGAGGACAGGAGAGTTCACTGGTAGCTTTCACATTTTCTAAGTGCCAAACTCATCTTGCATTTTTCAATTTTGTCCCAACTTCAGGTGGACTACAGTAAATAGTATCTCCCAAAGCATCCTGTACAAAATTGCTTATTCCAACAGTTCCAATCCCATTTTCTGTCATTATTTATTCCTGTTTCTCTTGGAATTTATGCACCCAGAGCAGAGCAGGTCCACAGTAGCCAAGACGCAGGGGACACAGGGCCGTGCCCAGACTGCAAACCACAGACTCCAAGCCCCTGGACACATCAACAATCAACCTCAGAATGGCAATTTTAAATAGCAAAACAAAACAAAGTTATTAATAACACTGGACTTACACCTTTGGCCTTGCCTTTCTAGCTTGATTGGATCTTTCAAGTAATAAAAACTTTGTGATGGACAAACGTTTAGTAAATTTCTCCAGTATTTACTCTTCCTCTTTCCTCCTCACCACTTTTTTTCCTTTCTACTAGAAAGGAGAATGTAATAAATTCCATTCTTTATCAGCCACATTAAATTCTTAGCTATTTCCCATTTTCCTTAGGGACTGAAATTCCTTGCAGATAATGTCTGCGCACCCAGACACTTCTTGAAATCTAAGAAGAATTCATTTGTTTTTTCTCAAATACATTTCACATTTCCTTAACCTGTTCTAAAACCATTGTTGTTATATCTTGTTGTTCATAATAATTTTCTATAAGAGCTGAAAAAAATAACACTGGACTTGGCTTACAAATTACAACATTTCATCTTGATAAGTAACTCCTGATGGCATGTGTGTCTTGCTTAACTTTTAAAATACAACAAGCAAGTTTTTCCAATTGGGCAAGTCAATTGTGAAATTCTAATCTTCATTACCATCAAATTGAAAACTTAGTGTTTTCCCCACACACAAAGACTATCCAAAAAGAACAAGCAGCCAGAAAAAGGTAAGTTTTCTAAGGTCACAGTGGCTCCACATTGAAAGTTCTTGAAAATTCACTTCTACAGGATGTTTTCTAGTGTGTGTTGCAGTCCCAAAAGTTTATGTCTTTCCTACTACGCTGTTTAAATGTTTCTGAATGAACTACACTCAGGAACATTTTTAGTGTCTCTTTCCTTCAAGTGACATTAACCACCTCAAAATTCAATAAAATGCTTGAGAAGTGAACAGAATCCCAAGTCCACCTATCTTCACCCATCAACTGCTTCTTTCCAAAAAGAAAAAGTCAAAGGGAGGAGAAATAAGAGGAAACACAAAACAGAGGCCACACGCGAGAGCGCGCTAGCGATCAATCCTCTCAACTTTTCCCGTCTGACCTTTGTCCTCCATTTTCAAAACCTGCCCACCGGACAGAGCAAAGTCCCTGTGTGTGGCTCACTGTCTGTGCGGACACAGAAAGAAGAAGAAAGTATTCCCAGGGCAGGCTGAGTTACCGTCTTTCCGAGGCACACAGACGGCGTTCCCGCCGCACGCACCAGGACTCCAGAAGGCGGCTGTGTTTAGTGTCTGCAAACGACACGAAATAAGCCAAGTGCAAGTCCCCGGCGGAGGGCAGGGCTCCCGGGACCGTGCCTCCGGGGGTCCCGCGCGCGCACGCCCCGCGCGTGCGCACACCCCGCCCGTCCTCCCCCCCCCCCCCCCCCCCCCCCCCCCGCCCCGACGGGCCACTGGACGCTGTTTATCCTCACTTGGCGGAGGGCCCGCGGCGGCGGCGGCCGTGGTTGTTTTTCTTTCAAACTTCGGTGTTACAATCACTCGCCGGGTGCAGACCTCGGTGGGCGGGGGATAGGTAGCAAGGCACCGGATTCCGGTCACAAAAACCCCCAAATGGCTTACGGGACACCAAGGCCACGGAGTTGGGACAGGTTTCTGCCCCGCCCCCACCACGTCTGCACGCTGGATTCCCGGAGTTCCTTCCACCCAAAAGACACTCGAGCAAAACTCCACCACGCGTCTGAGGAAGCCCGGGGCAGGAGTACTGGGCTACCGCAAGTCTAAGGAAGCTCTCGGGAGGCCGTGAGAGGCGGCCGCAGGGCCGGGACGGCAGCCGGCGGCAGGCCCTGCACTGGGGCCCGCGAGCCAGGGCCGCGCCGAACCGCGAGACCCGGGCTGCAGGGCGAGAGGGGAGCGAGGGCGCCGCGTCCGACTCACCTGCCCAGGCACCGAGCCACGGGCCGACCCCGGCCTCGTGACCCACACCCCAGACCCGGAAGGCCGTGAAGAGCGAGTACGAGACGCGCAGGACCACGTAGGCCACCGTGCTCGCGCCCACCCAGTACAGGAAGCCGGCGGCGGGCACAGCGCTCTCCATGGCTTCTAACTAGGCCTCGCTACCTCCGTGAATGAAGGGGGGGGGGGGAGGAATGAATGAATGAAGCGTAGAGGAGGCGCTGGCCGTGACGAGAGGAAGCACGCTATTTGAAAGCGCTCGTGGAGCCCTGTGCACCTAAGCCCCGCCCACGGGACCATATCTGCGCGCCATTGGTCATTTAGCTTTCCTTCTGAGCGTAGCGAGCGACCCATTGGATAACAAAATGGCCTCGTTGCTCCGCCTACAGCCCCCCTCCCACTCAAATGCGTGTCTGTCCAAAAGCAGTGGATCGTTTGCATGCCAGTCAATCTTCAGTCCACCCTAATCGCGTAACCACAGCCCCGAGGATTCCACTAGCAGGCTGTAAGTCTCACCCCATCAAAGCGCCCAGATCTCTCATTGGCTACGGCCGACCTCGCAACTGCGAACGACTCTTCTCTGATTGGCTAGTCAGACACGGGTAAGGGATACCGGAAGCTACTAGTGAATGGGAAGTTCGTAGTGAAGAGTCCTTGTGGCACCGACTACTTCCACACCCGTATTCATGTGCTGCCATCGTCCACTAAAACCTTCCGATAAAGGTTTAGGGCTCCCTGTTTCCATACCATTAAGTACGCTACATGATTGAGAATTTAAGACAAATAGGGGAAAAAAAAACATTAAGATGCATAACAAAATATAGTACAGAAACACAGCTTGAGGAAAGGTAACTTTAAAGGACCAGAGAACGTTTTACTTTTATTTTTCCTTCCCTCCCCCATTTCTGTGGGAGTTTGAAGTGAGGTTTCCAGGGGTCCCCAAAGCATGTAATCCCTGTAGAGGCTTGGAAGTTTCTCAGAAAACTCAAAGAAATTTCAAAGAAAGCACTAGCTAAGTTGAAGAAGCTGAGTAAGCAGGCCTGGGGGGACAGATGTGCAAGGTTGAGGGAGAGAAAGAGATGGAGAGGATGAGTTTGATCAGGGGTACATGATATGGATGGATGGAAATTATACTGAAACCCCATTGCAGCCAATATATGCTTTAAAAAAATCTTTTAAAAGTTGTGTGAGCAATTATGGGAATGTAGGTAAATATCACAATGAATCTTCCTTGTACAATTAATTTATGCTAATAACAAGGTAAAGGGTTCTTCCTCTTTATTCTCTTATCTACTTTTCAAAATTTCAGTACCCCTATTTTCTTGACATGGACTCCCATTAGGTATCTAAAGTTTATTCTTAGCTAATATGAACTGTTAATTCAATATATGAGTTATGTAGCTCAGGGTGGTGCTAGCTTATGATCCCAGCTTTCTGAGAGGCATAAGGTGGAAGATTCTGAGTGTGAGGCCAGCCAGAGCGGTATTAGTCAAGAATCCATTTCAAGAACAAAATAAAAAATAATTTAGAAAAGTAAAAAAGTAGAATTCTTGCCTAGCAAGCCTTGGGTTCAATCCCCAATACTATATGGAAAAATGTTTGAGAGTTTGTTTTCTTTTTATTTGGGTTTTGTTGTTGTTGTTGCTGTTTGCCAAGCAAGAATTACACAAGGGTAATAATTCTAAGAGTTCCATCTCAGCATACCTTGAATCTCACTTCCTATTTTTATAATATTTACTTTGATCTTTCTCCCTCATCTCCCCCACCCCAATTCCTTCTCCACTTTCAAGATTAACTTGATACAACCATAAGCATGATACTGTCAATTGTCCAGTAGAGTTCAGGCATGGGCATAGATTTGGCAACGTATTTATTTATTTTTTGCAATGCTTGGAATGGAACCCAGAGCCTCTTGCTTCTAGGCAAGAGCACTACCACTAAACTACACGCCCCCAGGCTTAATAATTTTAGTTGTAGTAGTGGTGCTTTGAGATAGGGTCTCATTACGTGACCAAGGTTATATAACTGAGCTCCAAATTTCTATATTCCATTTTATCAATGATCACAAAGTGCTCTCCATTTGTTCAGACCCATTCTTTTTGTGATTGGGCAGACAGAGGGGAAAAGAGCTATTCGAAGCTAGCAATACATATTTTTGTCCCCCCCCACACACACACATAAGGGCCCCACCCTCGAATCTACTGGGGGCCCTATGTAATGAGTCTACTGAGCTACTGTGCATAAAACAGTGAGCAAACGGTCAATTCTCAGTCCTACTCTACCATTCAGCAGTGGGAGGTTGATTTCCTAATAGCTGTTGCTATCTAGACTTCTTGGCTGGCCCTTCTTCCTGGCCTCTAAATGATGCAATGCCCTCCACCTCAGACTTCTCCTCTTTATTTCTACATACAGTTCTCTGACATTACTATCACCTTGGTTTTAAGTATCAGCTATAAACTGATGACTGATGATTTCCAAATATGTCTACTCGGGCTCATCTTTTGCTTTAGCAATCCCCTCAACATCTCCACTGAGATGATAATCATCTCTCAAACTTAATATATTTAAAATAGAACTCTACTTCTACACACCTTTTCCCCTCTTCTTTCCTATCTCAATTTAATGGTACCACTATAGGATCCAAAACCTATTCCATTCCCATTTCCAGTCCTTCAGCAAGTCCTGTCCCCTCTACCTTCAAAATACATTTTCATTGACTACTTCTCATCTCTGCTGCTGACAGCTAATCCAAATCACAAGCATTTCTGACCTGGAATATAGAAGCGATAAACTCCTAATGGCCTCTCTGAAGCGATCTTGACAGACAGACATTGTTGGTGTTGGACATTGCATTTTTGAACAAATAATCAGGTAGTCCACTGAATATTAGTCAATTCCATTAACTACTAAACATTCAAATTCTACATTGGAGAAATAGGGAAAATGCTATTCAAGCATATAATAGGGTCATAGATATTGCATTCAATGAGATAAATTCTAGCATCTTCATTTTGGGAGCAAGCTAAAACTTAAAGCATTTGGGTAACTTTCTGATGGACAAATAAGAGATTAAGAAGCATAATTAGAATTTGAACTAAAAAGGTGTGGGTATGAAATCATATCTCCAGAACTAGCTCAGAGAAAGCAGTATAAAAAGTGGCTACCAAGAGAGTAGAAGTGTTTTTAGAACACTTAGTTGTTATACAAATCATATACCCAGACACAATCTCATTGTATTTTAGTGCAGTTTATTTAAATATTTAGAGTTCAGAATAGTCTTCAATGCAGAGAACTGTGAAACAACACTGCATCATATTAGTATACAAATGTTCCAATTTAAGTTACAGTTTATTGTCAGTATTTCTATAAATTGAATTTCAGGTCATGTTTGACAATAAAATTCAGAGTAAACCAATATAATAAAAGAAAATTACATAATTAGGGAGTTTCATAGAAGCAAGGAAAATTTAAGAATACCATCTTCATTGATCTTTTGGAACAAGAGCTGAATCCTTTACTTGGCTGTATAAAAAACTTACATAATTTTAACAGTTCTTTCTTCTTTCATTCCATCTTCATTTAAATGAAGTTCAAACTATTGAGCTTCAGCTGGCCTTTAAATTCAGTTGTCCAGTCCTGGATTTAAAAACAAAACAAAAAGTTGCTATGTAAACAAATTAAAAGAAACAATCTTCCTAACCTCTTTGGATTTAAGAAGTTCCAAAAAACTTAATATTTGGCTTCTTCAATAGAGAATATCACTACGAAAGGGGGTATTAGTATTTATTATACTTCCTTATTGCATTGTCATTTTCAAAGTGATTTCCTGTACATTATTCCATTCGAACATAGGAACACCTCAGGTTCCCAACAAGGAAACCAGGAAAACAGCTGAATTTTTGTCTTTTTTTTTTTTTTGGTCGGTCATGGGGCCTGAACTCTGGGCCTGGGCTGTCCCTCAGCTCTTCAGCTCAAGGCTAGCACTCTACCACTTAAGCCACAGTGCCACTTTTGGCTTTTTCTGCTTATGTGGTGCTGAGGAATCAAACCCAGGGCCTCATGCATGCAAGGCAAGCATTCTACCACTGAGCCACCTTCCCAGCCCCTCTATCAGGACTTCTTGAATGCACAAGGCCTGATTCTAGAAACAAGTATATAAACTGACCCGATATACTACCTCATTTCCTATTCCCACTGGAGTGTATTCTTCCATTTCTTTTCCTTATGTAGATATAAAACTATGTGACATTTACAACACAAACACTTTTGATTATTAGCTTACCTTATATAAAGAAGGATTTCATGGACACATTTCCACTTTTATAATATATCCTAGTCAATCTCACCCCATCTATCACTCTCCCCACTTTTTTTCGGAGTTCATTTCAATAGACAGTATTTTAAATGTTTAGAGAAGTTATGCCTTTGTGTTCCTCTCTTAGGGTATCCTTCTTTAATCTGTTAGTGTCCACACACATTTTTAAAGTAAAAACGGTGAACATACAAATATTATTCACACCGTTTTTTTTTTTTTTTTTTTTTAGGCCTCGATCTCAGGGCCTGGATGCTGTCCCTGAGCTCTTCAGATTAAGGCTAGCAATCTACCACTTTGAGCCATAGCTCCACTTCTGGTTTTCTTGGTGGTTAACTGGAGATAAGAGTTTCAGGGACTTTACTGCCTGGGCTGGCTTTGAACCCAAATTCTCAGATTTTAGCCTCCTGTGCCAATCATTCAACATTGTTCTATATAATAATATATTAACATATATAAGCATATATAGTTAATATTTTTTCTATATAATATTATCATGGTGAATTTTTTTTAGTGCCCTGTAGTGTGGCTTGGACTCAAGGGTTTTGTGCTTGTTCAGCTTGCTTGCTTACTGCTGGCATTGGAGCCATGCCTTCAGCCTGGCTTTTTGCTGACTAATTAGAAATGGAGCCTCTTAGACTTTTCTGCCCAAGCTGCCTCTGAACTATGATTTTCCAGATCTTGGCCTCCTGAGTAGTTGGACTACAGGGTTGTACCATGAGTGTGCAGCCCATGGTGGAATTTAAATATCAAATGATAACATATAAATATTGACACATTAAACTGGTTGTCTTTATTGCATAAGCAGATCTAATAATCACTCCAGCAACCTTACACAGAATACTTTCAGTTAAAAAAAGAAAGAAATCTTAGTCACAGTAAACAATTCAGTTTGAAAGTATTTGAAAGGGGAAATATATTATGATGTAACAACACACTACTGCCAATTTATTTTTAAATCTATAAGGTACTTATATACACAAGTGAACAAAAAATGCAAAGGAATTTCAGAAGTTCTTCTTTATCTGAATATTCAGAGTTTAACAATGGATTCAGAATTTTCTTTCTTTGCCCACATGTATTTTCCTTAAAAATCTAGATTTTTTTTTTTAGTGAATATAATTGATGCATACAAAGATAATGTGAAAACCTATTAATTATAAAGCCTAATATAATGGAAAACTGGGAACTCACCACCCAACTGTAGAACTTTCCCTGTATAACTTTTATCACAAATATTTGTGAATATATATACAATAGAATTTTTAGTTTTAAGCTCTATTTAAAAGGCATAATATATCACATCTTGAGGAACACATCAAGATCTCCTTTCCAGCCGGGCGCTGGTGGCTCACGCCTGTAATCCTAGCTACTCAGGAGGCTGAGATCTGAGGATCGCGGTTCAAAGCCAGCCCGGGCAGGAGAGACCGTGAGACTCCTATCTCCAATAAACCACCAGAAAACCGGAAGTGGCGCTGTAGCTCAAGTGGTAGAGCGCTCGCCTTGAGCTGAAGAGCTGAGGGACAGCGCCCAGGCCCAGAGTTCAAGCCCCACAACCGACAAAAAAAAAAAAAAAAAAAAAAAAGATCTCCTTTCCAAGACCACAACATTCCCCCATTTGTTATAGATGTTAGTAGGTGAGGGTTCAGAGCTGTTCCCCTTTATAGACATTGTTTAGGCCAAGAGATGCTGCTTTGCCTCCTCCTCAGAGATTGCCTGTAGCTAATAACTAGCGGATGAAGAAATACAAATGACTGGACTTCAATTACAGACATCTCTGAAAGACCTTCGCAGTGTCTGATTGTCTGAGCCCTTCATAATTAGTGCAGGTCAGTCCAACCTCTACTTCAGCTAATTCTAACAGGACTGACTGGTCTGAGTTGCAATGAATCCTGTCAGAAGATGAACTAAAGTCCTAATACCGTTGAAAGAGTTTTATTTGAAAATAGCATCTTTATAGATGTGTTTGAGTTATCATAAGGTCATGTTGGATTGAAGGGTCTTAAAACCAGTAACTGTTTGCTCACAAGGAGAGAGCAACTTGGCCATGAAACAATAGATGCTGAAACTGAGTGATGAGGCCTCAAGCCAAAGAATGCTAAGGATTACTTATAACCAACAGAAGCTCTGAAAAAGCAAAGGTTCTTCTCTAGAGCCTTCAGGGTTTACATGGCATTGTTAGCCCCTTAATTTCATATTTTTCTTAAAATTCAGGACTATAACAAGAGAATAAATATCTGTTCTTCAAAGCCAAATAGTTTCTAGCAACTTATTACAGTAGCTATAAGGGATTCATACATGGATTTAAGACAAATACTTGAGTAGTCTGCTGATACTTTTTTTTTTCTTTGTAGTGCTGGGTACTGAAGCCAAGCTCTAAGCACACTAAGGAAAACTCTACCACTGAGCTATTCCTAGCTATTTGGGAAGTTGAGATTGGGGAATAAAGGTGTGAGGCCATTCTGGACAGAAAAGTTTGTAAGATCTCTTCCCAACCCATATCTGGGCACAATGGCATGCATCTGTCATCCCAAGATATGTGGGAGACCAAGAAGGAGATGATCTCAGTTCAGGATTGCCTGGGCAGAAAAGTCTGTGAGACTCCATCTCCACAGAGGGAGGCTGGACGTGGTGGTGCTAGCCAGTTATCCCAGTGATGTGCCCAGGCAGAAAATAAATCCTATCTCATAAAGCACCAGAAAACAAGTCAAACAAGTCTGGAAAGATTGGGTCAAGTGATACACACCAGCCTAGAAAATAGGAGGCCCTGATTTCAAATCCCAGTATCACCTCCCACAAACTGCCTCCTGAAAAGGGCACGGAAATGAACTCTAGCCTAGAACTTGCAAGGGTTTGAACTCAGGTCCTGGATGCTGTACCTGAGTGTCCTTTGCTCAAGGCTAGCATTCTACCACTTGAGCCACAGTGCCACTTCTAGCTTTTCTGAGTAGTTTATTGGGGATAAGAGTCTCATGGAGTTTCTTGTCTGGGCTGGCTTCAAACTGTGATCCTTAGATCTCAGCCTTCTGAGTAGCTAGGATTACAGGCGTGAGCCAATATCGCCGGGCCCATGTTGCAATTCTAAGCTCTAGACCTATAAGATAATAAATGGTATGTAGCAAATGAGTGCTTTTTTGGCTACATATTTGTGAATATTTTGTAATAGCAATGAAAGAAAATAATCTATGAAAGAAAACATGTCTATGTATGTTTCTTAAGGAAGTGTACCTCTGCCCAACCCCCTTGCTTAATACACTCAATTCATAAGGACCTTCCCTATGAAGTCCTCAAAAGCACTTGAGCCCAAGCCATCCTTCTGCCTCAGCCTCCCAAGAAGTTGATATTACAAGTATGATCTAGTGCACCAGGCACCATATATTTTCTTTTGCACACTGCCTAATTATGTCTTTTAATTTATAAGTGATTATCACAAGGTTATTGATAGACCACTAACTCTGTTTAAAACATTTACCTTGCCAAGCACTGGTGGTTCATGCTTTTAATCCTAGTTACTCAGGAAGCTAAGACCCAGAAGATGTCAGCTCAAAACTTGCCTAGCCAAGAAAGTCCTACGAATATCTCCAATTAACCAACAAAAATTCCAGACTGGAGGCATGACTCAAATGGTAGAACACCAGCTAGGAGTGAAAAGCCTAAGTGACAGCATGAGGCCCTATGTTCAAGTCTCAGAACCAGCACAAAACAAAAACTACAATTGCCTTTTTACTATGGATAATTTCAAGCATAAAAAGTAGCCCAAACCTAGTATAAACAGCTGAGCATGATGGCATGATGGCAGATGCCCTTAATCTGATTATGCAGGAAGCTGACACAGGAAAATCTCAGGTTTGAGGCCTGTCTGCGCTGCTTAGTAAGATCCTATTTCAAAGAACCAAGGGGAAAAATAGCAGTTCTTTTATGCTTCCAAATATTCTCCAACTTTTAACTGTTTTGCTAATATCTTTTTTTAGAAGAATATGTCTGCCATTGTTGAGATGACTAGTTTGAGATGAATTTCTGCAGCAAGAATCCCTGGAAATTACATACTACTTTTTCTCTCCTTCAAACTAGGCATATCTATGAGGAAGATTCAACAAACTGAGAACATTTTGCTATTAAGAATACCTGTAATTCTATCTACTCAGGAGGCTGATATCTGAGGATGGGGATTTGAAGCCAGCGTGGGCAGGAAAAGTCTAAGACTCTTCTCTGCACTAAACTACCAAAAGAAACCAGAAGTGGAGGTGTAGCTCAAGTGGTAGAGCACTCAACCTGAAGTAAAAGAAGCTCAGAGACAGTGCCCAGGCCATGAATTCAAGCCCCTATGCCTTGAGTTCAAGCCTGGCACAAAAAAATTTAAAAATAAGAAAGGAAAAAGAAATTGCATGGAAATTAGCGTAGAAACACAGTAATGATTTCTTTCCTTGTATTAAGTCAGATGTGAAAATCTAGAGCTAAAGAAACAAAAAAACTTTTAGAAGTGAGTGGCTAGTAACATGTATGATCAGAAACTAGATCACCAGGGGAAAAAATAATCAAAAGCATGCAACATAACAGGCGGGGAGCCGGTGGCTCACGCCTGTCATCCTAGCTACTCAGGAGGCTGAGATCTGAGGATCGAGGTTTTCAAAGCAGCCTGGGCAGGAAAGTCCATGAGACTCTTATCTCGAATAAACCACTAGAAAACGGAAGTGCCGCTGTGGCTCAAGTGGTAGAGCGCTTGCCTTGAGCTGAGGAGCGCAGGGACTCCGTGCCCAAGCCCAGAGTTCAAGCCTCGCGACCGACAAAAACAAAAATCATGCACCACAAATCTACGTAGGAAACTACATTCTACTTTCTGAATACAAAGAAAAATAATTTGGAAAATCCTTAAAGGGGTTTGGGGCACAAACTGAGTGGTCTTGATGTGACAGCTGGCACAGAAGGAAAAGCTGCACATCTGTGTTAGAATTCACAAAGAAAGAAAAATCATGGGGGTTAAGAATGCTAGCCAATGAGCTGGTCTCAGACCCCCACCCTACCAACAAAAGAAGGAAAAATGTGGATGCAATAACTGTTCATCTAGAAATAAAACTTTAAAGCCCTAGTTTTAGTTAGGGAGAAGGAACCATTATCCAGTCATGAAGAAACCCTGGGTACCAGATTCTATTTCTAATAGAGCTACTGTTGGTTAAACATTTCTCCAGAATTGCCTTACCTATCTATTCCAAATTTAGCAAATGTGTTTTTAATGAGGATATAAATTAACTCATTTGGGAAGTTCCTGAACTTTCTTTTTTCTGTCTGATTCACAGGAAGACCTAAAGGCCCAATTTTAGTATTTTCACAGCTGCTTTGTAAATAAGGTGCTCATGGATCATTTCCCATTTGAATGAGAATGTAGTATTTGCTTTCAAAAAATTAGAATGTTTGTATTCATTGAAGACATTTAATAAATTGCACTTAACATAAAATAAGGCCATTTATAGAAACCTGGCAAATTGCAAATTTACCAGAAACAAGAAAAAGTTTGTGGACAAGATTATAATTTTGACAATGAAGACAGGTGTATGACTTGTCCTTTCAAGGGAATCTGCAAATTTATTTTTGCTTGCCATACTTATGAAATAAGTACTGTGAAGACTATTAGAATAATGTAAGAAGTCAGGCCCGAGGGACAATGTTCATTTTTCAGCATATGGGAAGCCAACTTAATGCAACACCACGTGTTAAAAGGATTATCTTTTCCCTCTTGATTTACCTTGGCACTTCGGTCGAAAATCCTTTGGTGACATGTATGTACATTCTCATTTCCCTGTGCCCCACTGAGTTACATATCATTCTGCAAATACAAATCTTAATTAGTTTGCTTTTAAAGTGGTCATTAAGCCAGCTAGTTTACGCTTCCAATACTATTCTTCTTTGGCTTCTCTAGAGTCTTTGCCTTTTTATAAATTTTGTTGCCTTTTTATAAATTATAGAACCATCTATTTTATTTTGTGAAAAATAAACATAATTTTGATTGAGAGTACTTTGATTGTATAGATCAATTTGAAGAAAGTTATATTCTTAACAGAGGCTTCTAGTCTATGAACATTGTTTATCTTTCATTAAATATCCTTTTTCCCAGCAAGTTTTTAGTTTCAGGTCATGGGTCTTACATTTAATTTCCTAAATGTAACCCCACGAATTTTACATTTACCAGTACCACTTATGGAGTCTTGTTGAGTGTGTGTGTGTGTGTGTGTATTGGTACTAGAGTTGAACTCAAGTCTTGCTTTGGCTTGGCTTTTTCACCCAAGGCCAGTGTGCTACCACTTGAACCACAGGCTCTACTTCAGGCTTTTTTTCTGGTTAACTGCAGATAAGAGTTTCTTGTCATACGTTTTTCTGCCCAGCCTGGCTTTGAACCACTATCTTCAGACTTCAGTCTCCTCAGTAGCTAGGATGACAGGCATGAGACACCAGCACCAGAAGAGTATTGGTTTCTTTCTTTCTTTTTTTTTGGTCGTGGGGCTTGAACTCGACCTGGGCACCGTCCCTGAGCTCTTTAGCTCAAGGTAAGCACTCTACCACTTGAGCCACAGCACTACTTCTGGTTTTCTGAGTGGTTTATTTGAGATAAGAGTTTCACAGACTTTCCTGCCTGGGCTGGCTTTGAATTGTGATCTTCAGATCTCAGCTTCCTGAGTAGCTAGGATTACAGGTGTGAGCCATTGGCACCTGGCAAGTTTTGGTTTCTTAATTTCAATGTATATTAGTTTGTTGGAAAGATATAAGCCTTTTTAAGGAACTAAATACTGTTCTCAAAGATCATTCCAACTTACATATCTAACAAAATGAGATTGCCTTTTGGACCACACTGTTTTCACTTTTTTTTTCAATTGTGGCTTTTTGTTTTTTTTGTTTTTTTGGTCGTGGGGCTTGAACCCTGGGCCTGGGCACTGTCCCTGGACTCTTTAGCTCAAGATGAGTGCTCTACCACTTAAGCCACAGAACCACTTCTAGTTTTCTGGTGGTTAATTGGAGATAAGTCTCAAACTTTCCTGCCTAGATGGCTTCAAACCTAGATCCTCAGATCTCAGCCTTCTGAGTAGCTAGGATTACAGGTGTGAGCCACCAGTGCCTGGCTGGTATACATTTTTAAAATGGTTCTATTTCAGTTTACTTGGAGAATAATTGTTGGACTTCAAAAACATGAAGTTTGGTTAACTTTATGGCTTAGTTCACACAGATATGATCTTATATTCTTTTCTTTCCTTTTTAAACCACTTTCTCTACTAAATTCCCCCTCTTCTATAGGGTCTGTTGTAACCATTCCGAAGTATTTGATACATCTAGTTTAGAACAATTTTGATGAAACATTTTGCATATAAAGTTTATACAAATGTTATTGAGCTAAATGTTCTATTGTTTCCCAAGTGCTAGTCTTATAGGACCTTACAAGAGTGTGCTACCAAGCCCACCTCCTTTGCTTGTGATACATAGTACTACTCATGCATCCACCCTATTTTACTTTTACTTACGTAATTTCCCAGTTAAGAATCTCAGGTTGGATTTGTTGGTGGTGGTGGTGGTCGTGAGCCTGGATACGGTCCCTGAGCTCTTTTGCTCAGGGCTAGTGCTCTAACACTTTGAGCCATAGCTCCACTTCTGGTTTTCTGGTGGTTACCTGGAGATAGGAGTCTCATAGACTTTCCTGCCTCTCTAGAAAGCCTCAGATCTCAGCCTCCTGAGTAGCTAGTATTACAGGCATGAGCCACCAGTTCCTAGCTTCAGGTTGGATTCTTAAGATTCTACCAAAAACCAAGTAGTGATTATCCTCATATTTGTTCTTTTACAGAATTAAGATTTCCTTTTTTTAATTTTTATTTATTTTTTATTGTGAAAATACTGTACAGAGGGGTTACAATTACATGACAAAATAATGAATACATTTCTTATCAAGCATTGTAGCCTCCTCCTGTTTCCCCTTCCCATCCCTTCCCAGCCTCCTTCCCCCCCCCCAATCCTCCCCCCCACACACCAAAGTTGTAAAGTTCTTTTTCGACATGACAACTTGTACTTCTCATTGTTGCAATGGGTCCACCTGTATCCTTATTTAAACGACTTGTTTAGAATTAAGATTTCTTGAAGCCATATGCCCCAAAACAATTTAATGTGTATACACATTTAACTAAATTCTGCCAGACTATTCTCCAGAATGGCCCCACCATTTCACAAAATCCCCAATGCTTTGCATCAACAACATTTACAATTTATTTGCTAGTCTACTGGGTATAAACAACTATTTATTTTTTTTGTCAGTTGTGGGTCTTGAACTTGGGTTGTGAATACTGTCCCTGAACTACGTAAGAGCTACTGAGGTTTTCTGGTGGTTAACTGGAGATATGAGCCTCAGGGACTTTCCTGCCTGGGCTGGCTTTGAACCGAAATTCTCAGATCTCAGCCTCCTGAGTAGCCAGGATTACAGGTCTGAGCCACTAGTACTCAGCTAAACAATTTTTTTATTGGTGGGGTTTTGTCATATATATATATATATATATATATATATATATGTGCTGGTATCAGGACTTGAACTCAGGGCCTTGAGCTATGGCTTAGCTTTTCAATGATGGCTGGTAGTATATCACTTGAGCATTTTTGCTGGAGACAAGAATTTCTGAAATTTGTCTGACGGGGCTGGCTTCAGACCCAGCCTTTTCCCTTGTATTTGTTCTAGTTATCATTGTATAACAAACCTCCCAAGATCTTAAAAGCTTAGAACAAATTATTTTATTTGCTGTACTGATTTACAGCTGATTTAATGGCAACACAGGGCTGCTGAGGCTGGCAGGTCCATTTCCCAAGAAACTTTTTCACTCTGAGGTCTGTCCTGTTGCTTCTTCACTTCTCCATGAAATGTCTCATCTTCCAGATCTTCTCCACATGGGTTTCTCACAACATAATGCTTTCAGGGTAATGACAGGTCTTAGATGGTAGTTGGCTTCCAAAAGGCGGAATGCAGAAGTTGTCAGGTTAGTTTAGTGCCACATCACCATTTTTCCTTTATCAAAAGAGTCAGTCTACCCAAATTGAAGGAAGTGGAGAGAATCCATTTGGTTTGTGGGGGAGGGTTTCAGGGGGAACACAGCCCAGGCCTTAACATGCTAAGCACATGCTATATCACTAAGGAAACCCCTAGCTTACTGATGACTGTCAATGGTACACTGAGTTGGGAGGTTGTATTGTAGACATCTTTGGCAAACAATCTATAACATTTGCATTAAAATTTTTTCCTTTCTTTTTTCTTTCTTTCGTGGGTCATGGGGCTTAAACTCTGGGCCTGAGTGCTGTCCCTCAGCTCTTCAGCTCAAGGCGAGTGCTCTACCACTTGAGCCACAGAGCCACTTCTGGTTTTCTGGTGGTTTATTGGAGGTAATAGTCTCACAGGCTGTCCTGCCCAGAGCTGGCTTTGAACTGAGATCCTCAGATCTCAGCCTCCTAAGTAGATAGGATTACAACTACCAGCGCCCAGCTAAATTTTTTTCCTTTCTTCAGTGGTAAATCTGTCTTTCCTAATAATTTATAGGAACGGCACTAAATGTCTCAAATCTTTTGCATATATAAAAATTCTTTCCACGTGGCTGGGAAGTGACTCAGTGGTAGAGCACTTGCCTTGCATGCATGAGGCCCTGGGTTCGATTCCTCAGCACCACATAAGCAAAAAGAAAAAAGCCGGAAGTGGTGCTGTGGCTCAAGTGGTAGAGCGCTAGGCTCAAGTGGTAGAGCGCTAGCCTTGAGCTGAAGAGCTGAGGGACAGCACCCAGGCCCAGAGTTTAGGCTCCACGACTGGACCCAAAAAAAAAAATTCTTTCCACATTTAATTTAGAATACTTCTCTTCAAGTGAACTAGGAGTCATCCCCACTTTACTTTTGATTTCTTTTCATTAGAATGAATACACACACACACACAAACACACACACACACACACAGCCTTGTCTCAAAAACTAATATGAAATATATAGGTTCTTACACAGGATTAAGTCATTCACAAATACTTAAGTAACTCCATTGTAACATATTGCAAGTTCAAATCTTATCATAAAATAATTATAGCAAACAGTACAAAATAGTGTTGTGGGTTTTTTTTTTCAGTACTGGGGTTTGAACTCAGGGCTTCACACTTGCTAGGCCAGCACTCCATTACTTTTGCCATACCTCCCGCTATGGAATAATTTGAAAGCATCAATATCTTCATTTTAACTCTCTAGTGCACTATGCTCTTTAATTGTATACTAAATGGTTTTGGTAATATAAAAAAATAGAAACAAGTTGACCAACTCCATTAAAAACAACTTAATTGAAAAGACATGGTTCTTGCCACCAAAAATAAAACAAAATACTACCTGAATTCCTAAAGACAATTTAAAATCAAGAAACATGTATTTAGACAGGCTCCAGTGTCTCATGACTATAAGTCTTAGCTACTTAGGACACTTAGATTCGAAGGATCACAGTTTAAGGCCAGTCTAGGTAGAAAAGTTCACAAGACTCCATTTCCAAAGTAACCACCATGAAGCCATGGAGGCATGGCTTCAGCAGTAGTGAGCAAGCAAGCCAGCACAGTAAGTGAGAGGCCCTGAGTTCAAACTTCAGTACCGGTGCACATACCATAGACAAACTAACAGAAAGTGGTTTACAAATAGTCTTTTAGAAATGGCAAACACATATGGAACCTGGCTTTTTTTTGCATATGTAGTAGAGTTCTAACTTTGGGATTAGTACTTACTAGGCTGGTTCTCTGCCATTTGAGCCACACTCCTAAGCCTTTAAAAATCAAAAAACGAAAACCTTCAGTTGTT